ACCGCGGGCCAGAGTCCTACACATCGTGGCAAGAGGTAATTTTCTATCACCATCATTCAGTGTCTGAAATACACACTTGCAGAAATAAATAACAGTGAAGGGCAACAATGAAGAAAACAGTATCCTCAGTTACTTACAGAATCTTATTCAAATCTGCTGCTGTTCTTTGTAAACAGGGCTGTATACATGACTAAACAATATACCGGTAGTATAAACAACAACTGTTACAGTATAGTTGTATACAAGTTTGAGGTACTGATATCATCAAGCTGATACCACGGTTGCAGAATTTCATGAAGTTTGTTGAAATAAGTCTGTCCATGTATTCATATACGAGTGCAGTCTGTATCTGTACCTGTATATCTGGTATAACCACCCTTTGATGTAACACACCAACTTCGCAGGCATGTGGCACGGTGGCAGCTGGATATATTACACTGAACGACTTGCTACACATAACCTTTGAACATCTATACAACTCTAGACATTGTTTAACGCTATTTAATGATATAATGCCCCTACTGTACTTGTAGTGAGTGAGTTCCACTCTTCAATAGTTATAGGAAAGGATCAGTTTTTGAACACCTCAATCTTTGGTGGATAACTCAATCCTTGGTTGACAAACCTACAATCATGTATGTTTAAACCAAGTGTACACTTTGGGTGTTTTTTGCAGGTGTTCCTGACAGAAGACAAGTCAGAAGTTGACAGTTACATGAAGGCCAATGAGATGGGTTATCAGTGGGAGTCTGATGGGTCCCTGTCATGGTGGACAACTCTGCCTGCACTGCGCACATACAAAGGTGACTGGTACAGTTTCAAAAGCACCCCAATAGACCCCGTTTTTAATACCTTTCACTGATTGCATGAACTGCTTACATCACAGGGGGGGCATTTTGAATAGAATGCCATTCTAGAACCAGCTTTCACTTGTGGTGTCCCCATTGGCAGATTTCCCAAAGTGGGTAACTTCAATTTCTGTAAGTTCCTGACCTGCCCCGGTACAATGAGTCCAACGCTTATCAAGTAATCCCTAGTTAATCCCAAGATAATCCCTAGTTCCCTACCTATACCAACTCTAATTTTTTCAGGACTGTAACAGGAAACATATTTTTTTCCTAGGCCTTATTTTAATGAAATCAACCATGATGTTAGCACTGTAATGCATGGGGAACAGATAAATGTACTTTTTAAGCTCATGTCAGCATGACTTTTCATACATGTAGGTGAGGAAATCTGGTTCACCCAGCCACACTCCATGAACGCCACGTATTTCAAGGCTCATCCTGATTGGTCGAAGATGGACATTCCTGACAACCGGTACCCCTTCCACACGTACTACGGCGACGGGTCAGATATCCCGCTGGATGTACTCCAGCATATCAGGGACGTCTGTTGGCAGGTAAGAATCCGCAGGGTGAATGTTCAGGTAGAGTTAAACTTTGATTCAACACAAAAGGGAACTCACAATAAATTTTCGGTCAATCTGGTCAACCTTCATCAGATGCATAATGCACTTGCTGACTCTCTGGAAGCGTGATGACGTTAGGAGTTAATCAAAAGTGGCAGGAAGACGGATTCTCCCACTGTCATGGTTCAGAAGGGGTTGATGGGCCCTGACGTAAACTGCCTCTTTCACGCCCCTCACAAAGTAATCCTGCTCTGTATCCAAAATGCGACTTAACCCATTTAATTTCTTGGATATGCCCATTTTTGTTCTGATTGGAAAAAAATAAGATACATGTATACGTGTGCCATTCAGGTTCTAAATCAATACCCAAATGCTCATATTTTCATACCAACAGTTGAAGAAAATCCTTGTGTCTTTCTACAAATGTAATTATTTCTAGTGATTTGATAAGTTCAAGATGCAGTCTGATACATTGACTTTGCACTGGCCTGGTTTTATTTTGCCTGGCCGCTTCATTGATTTTCTGCTAAAATTCGAGAACCAACAAATCAAAATGGTGTGGCCTCAAGCAGTGTATATTGTGATATCCAAGCCTCACATTCTACATGTACATGAAGATATTTGACCTTGTCAGGCTAAATATATCCTGGGTTCATCCATAGGCCATAACATGGTCTCCATACCAGAGATGATTTAGAGGAATGTCGCTATTTTGTGTTGTGACTACATCCTTTTTTATGTACCAAAGTTGGGCTGTATCATGCAGTTTTGAGGGGCGTTATTTAACATTTTTGCACCTAAATATTTCAATCGAAAAACTCATCATGTGATTGTCATTTACTACCACTTTTCAACGTATTTGTGCTACTTATGTCAAATTTCGCTTGGCACTAAAACAGCCCACACGAGGCGCAATCAGTTTCTGGTGCCACCACAAACTACCAGAGTGTAAACAAACATGGCTGACAGCTGTGTTTCAAGCTTTTAAACACAGTCGTAAGGCGTCATATTTTGGCACCTCCACTTCCTAAATGACAATATAACAGAGCAGATTCAACTTACGTTGTGAAGAAATTAATGACCAAAAATTTGTATCATCCTAAAATTACATAAATTATTGATATTTGTATAATTATGTGACTTCTTCCTGCACCTCTGTTCTCCAGGTTTCTGTGGGTTTCCAGATGCAGAAGGGAGACCTGATCATGCTGAACAACATGTATGTGAAGCACGCACGCATGTCCTTCACTGGCACCAGGAAGCTGGCCATCTCCCTCGCACTGCAGAAGAACTAGATCCAGTTTGTCTGACCAAGGAGGCTTTTAAATCCTTTGAAATTCATTTTTGGAGATGCACCTGTGCACCTAAGGCCACACCAATTTTATTTGTTGGTTCTCCGATTCGCCTCTTCATTTTTGTCTGATTTGCAAAAGAAAAAAAAAAGATTCTGATTCTGAATCAACTCAGATATGCTGATATATTGCCCCCAACAGTTGAGGAAAGTCCTTTTCTTCCTAGTTGTTTCCATCTATCAGTGCAGTCATTTGATTGAAAGTTCAAAATTCATTGTTTAAATACTAACCCAGCCTTTTGTGTTGACTTCATGGCTCCTATCGTAGCATTTGCTATAATAAGATGCCTAGACCCGTTTTCACTTTTTTATTTTTTTGCCCTGTCGCTTCATAAAAATTATTTTTTTAGAAAAAATCTGAGAACCCACAAATTAAATTGGAGTGGCCTAACCTAGAAATCTGGGTGTACAACATAAAGAAGGATGTCAGCAAAACCTTTTTACAAAGCTTACTGTTTCTTTCGAGAGCTTGAATCAGAAATTCAGTAATGCAATAAAGGTTTTTATCACAGTTGATTGGATGTTGAAAACATTGAGAACTGTGTAATACCGTGTAGTATACAATAGTACTTTTATGTACTATGTAACCTTACACAGATGTCTAGGAGCTCCAATGTACTCACGGTCAAAAATGAAGTTTGGGTGCACAAAAGTGCATGCAATTACGCACCCAGTATTTTAAGCCCTATTTTATCCTATAATGGAATGTATTTGGGGAATGAGGGGTGGTGATTTTTTTTCCAAAAGAAAAGGATGGAAGGAATTGGCTCATAGAAGCATGCTAGCTGTCAAGATTCATGTAATATATGATGATATATAGTTAATTCTCTAACCATTGAATATCCATGGTTTCTTATTATTTTCAATGGCACAGAAGTATGTTTATTCTCTGAAAGGGAGAAGCACAAATGAACAGATGTGTGATTATACTTCTGAACAATTATGTACAAAAATTTTTAATTATTTCTTCATTTCATTGGTTTCTAGTACCAAAGGGTAGATATTCATATCATTTGAAGACTTGTATAAATTATATTACAGTGGTATGACATATCTTTGCATAATAATAAACTATAATTTATGCGCTCAAGTTTGAACTTTGACTCTTGAAGTTCCTACAAGAGTATACAAAAATGTATATGTACATGAAAGGTACGGTTTTTGCAGACTAACTTTCTGGCATGACAGCTGTAAATACTAGTAATCGTTGTTGAAAATTTCCAAAAGTATATATTTTTTAAATATCTTTCAAACTAACTGAGGCATGTAATATATAACACCAATTTTGATATAAGTTCACGTCACGTGTGTTATCTACGTGACATCACGGAAGCGGTGGATTGCTCATTCCAGACAAAGACTGGAGTTGTACAGTTGAAAATTTGGGTGAGTCCAATTTGTTGTATTGGAAATTACAGTTTAAACTTGCTTCATAATGATTTCTACCAACACAGATGAACTTTCAAGATAATTTTGATACATATACAATACAAATGTAGCAGGAAGAACTTAAATGCTATTGGGGAATGAGGCACGTGCTGCTACACAAGTGTTAAGCTGATTTGCATGATGAAAGGTTATGTCAATATTAAGTATATTTACATCTGATATCGAAATGCAGCATGCAGAAAGAACGTTTGACCATTTGGGAAGGAGGCACGTGTTACTACACGCGAGTGTTAGGCATATTTGCATGATGAAAGGTCATATCAATTAGATTTAGTTTGTTTACAACAACACCTTGTTGTGCAAATGTGGCTAGACAGACTCAAAATACTTCAGTAGGGTCTAGGAAAAAAATGTTTCCTTTTTCAGTCTTGAAAAAATCAGGGTCTGACTAGGTAGGGATTATCTTTTTTTTCTTTTACCTTAGGCCACACCAATTTAATTTCTTGGTTAACGGATTCGCCGCTTCATTTTTTTCTGATTTGCAAATAAAAATAAGAATTCAGAATCAACTGCAAAATGTTCATATTTTGCCCTGAACAGTTGAAAACAGTCCTTTTCTTACCACTTGTTACAGTCATTCCATCTTTCAATGCAGTAGTATAATTAAAAGTTCAAAATTCATTGTTTAAATTTTGAACCAGCCTGGTGTGTTGACTTCATGGCTCCTATGGTACCATTTTGGGCCATAATAGGATGCCTAGGCCTGTTTTTATTTTTATTTTTTTTTCGCCCGCCCGCTCCATTATTTTTGTAGAAAAATCCGTTAACCAAGAAATTAAATTGGTGTGGCCTTAGCACCCTCTTGTGATCCAACAAGGAGCTCCTTACTTATACAATGCAGTTTAACTAGAAGTAAAACTTGAATGGGGATTAATATTCAATGTTGGAACAACGGATTGAACAACATTTCATCACTCAGGTGCTTGAGTTAGAAAAGGTTGATCATAATTTATGTCCCTTGCAGGGGTCTACACAAAAAAAAAGGCTATAGGGTTGGCCAAGGACGTTCAACGTCCTTGGGTTGGCAGTTTTTTCTAGGATCGGTCAGGAAACGGAACAATATATTTTCTCTGGGCTGTGCAGGAGATACATGTAATACTTGAGCTGTGATCCTTATGATGAAGCAAATTTGGAGGAGAATATCTTGGCGATCCTCTTGGCCTGCTCTGCTGTAGGAGCTTGTCTACTAGTCGGTGGTCTGTGTACTCCCTGTGACCTTTGTCCCTTCCTATCAGGTACCTTGTCCAGATCTTCATTAGTGCCATATACCCTCTGGGTCCTGTCCTGTGTTTGAGAACAAAGGGATAAAAAAATTCCAACATTAGGGAAGAATGTAGCCCAACAAGCATTAGTGACCCAAGCATCGATGTACAGGCTATCATTAGGCCACACCAATTTAATTTGTTGGTTTAAAGATTTGCCCAATTTTTTTATGATTTGTGAAAAAAAAAACATTTCAGGCTCTGTATTGACACCCAAAATGCTCATATTTTGGCCTCGACAGTTAAAGAAAGTCCCTTCTGTTCAGAGTTTTTACAGTTTTTCATCCATCAATGCAGTGGTTTCAAATTGATGAAAAGTTTGAAATTCATCATTTAAATTACAAACCAACCTAGTGTGTTGGCTCCTAGATCCCAAACTAAAACATGCATGAGGACACTTATATTTTCAATGCCAGTGTTGAAAAACTGATTGTACAATGTTTCATCTCTCAGGTGTCAGATCATGGAGCTAGAAAAGGTTGATCAGCTCGAAAAATTAATTGATGTCCCTTGCAGGGGTCTATCCCCCAAAAAAGTATAGGTTCAGCAGGTCTTTCTAGGGTCGGTCAGGAAACACAACATTTTTTCCCTAGGTCTAATGGATACGAAAACAAGACATGAATTATGTATAGCACAATTTCTCCTCATTAAGGTCAAGAGGTGACTGAGTGGTGAACACTGTAACTTACCAGATGTAACTGTACCATAAAATTACACTTAATGACTCAACAGTTACTGTGTACTGTAAACCCAGTGCCAGTGCTCACATAACGAAACATTAAAATTTTGCAAGCTACAAAGAATTTTAAAATGCTGCATCTGTACACATGTACATGCATGGAGGTATAAAAACTCTTTTTTATACCTCCATGGTAAATGTATACAACTGCATTTACTACAAATGACCAGCTTTGCACACTCTGTATACGTAGTACTATAGAAAGCTTGACAGTTCATAAAAAATTGACAAGTTTTAGAAAAAAAATTTCCAGTAGCACAATTTTTAATTTTACTAAGTTCACTGCTGTCTTGTGCAGGTAGACATCAGAAATACCTGCACAGCTCCAATTTTACCTGCACTAACCTGCATATACCCAGTACATGGACCAGTGCAGGTTAGGTGCAGGTAGACATCAGAAATACCTGCACAGCTCCAATTTTACCTGCAATAACCTCAGCATATGCAGGTGGTATTTTGAGCCCCAATAAACTGCACACAACAGACCAAGAAGTGAGTGTACATCTGACCTGTGTAGTCATGCCCCTTGGTTGGGGTAAGGCTGCTGTAGCAGACCGCAGGGCTCGCATGGAGGCCTCCAGGTCTTGTGGTGGGAGAAAGAAGTTGGGTACCTGTACTGGCATTGGGGGAATAGGACTGGGTAACGCCACTGTTAAGGAAAGTACAAAATCTTGCAAAATCATCATAGCAAAAAAAATGAACATATACAACTGGGGTAAACTACTGGTAATGTTCTTTTCAAATTATTCTTCTGTTACTTAGCAACGGACAATTAAAACAACAACTAGTACTTTTAAATTTTGATGGTGAGATGCAAACAATAAAATGATAGTGCAAATGTATATGTTGATTGCATAATATCATTTCAGTTAAAGTTATTTTTTTTTTAAATTTATATAAATCATTCTTTTTATTGTTTCCAAAATTCACACAAAAGAAAGCATGGCACAACGAAACAAACTGAAACCACATGCATAACTACAAAACTAAATAAAAACCAGTAAACAATATAGATGATATAACAGAGTGTTACAAAGTATAAAAAAAAGTCAACCCCAATTACAATTTATTTATAATTTCTTCAAGGAGATGAAAGTAGACCTATTAGCTTTCCCCATTTTCCCCTGTGTTTTTTTGTCTTGTTTCAGTTAAAGTTTATAGAAAATATTGTATTTTGGTGTCATGGTCTTTAAAAGCTTGTTTTGATTTTCAAGACATTGACAGTTGTATAATGTGCTAAGTATATATGGTAATTTTACTTAGAAATAGAATATCTTGAGAAGGATACAAGCTGGGTTGTTTTCTGTCAGTCTCTTCAGCTGATTCTTCATTCTCCTTGTCACTCTCCCCTCCCCTCCTCTCCAGGCCCTCCTCTATCCTGCCCTCTGCAAACCGAGGGACACTGGTTCTACTCCCATCACTGTCAACCGAATCTGTCGTTTCTCTGGTTTGCTGTACATGTGCATGATCTACCAAGTCTGTATCATCCGGTGTGTAAGGAATGGGGGAAGGTAGTGACCTAGAACCTTCAGATGACATTGACTTTGTCCTTTCCCGGCTATGCTCACGGTCAAACATGGAGAACGCTTGTCCTTCAAGCTTGTTCTGTTCTTCTTCAGGCTCACTTGTTTTTCCAAGTGGAGAACCCTTGTGGGATCGACCTGAGTCTTCATCAGACCTGTCTGCTGCGTGGTCTCCAGGTGTGGTCTCAAAGATGTCGTCAAGAAGACGATCCTTTTCTAGAGCAGGCATTTCTCTGGGTGAATCAGTAGTACTAGTAGAGAAAACTGGTCCTTCTTCACCTTTGGTGCCGAAGGAAGACGGAAAATCCTTTAACGGAAGAGGAATATCTGCAGAAGTTTTATCCTCATCTGCGAGTGTGTCTGTGGGTGCTATCTCTTGTTCCTGTGTACCGGTTATCGCCTCTGGTGACCAGTTTGCAAAGTGTGCTGAAGAAACGTCATTCAGTGCCCTGACTGGTACAACATCTTCCTCATCCGCATCACTGAACTGGACGCTGTCTTCCCACTTGATGGAATCGTCCTCTGAGTTGGATGACCTTTCCCCTGCCTGCTGCTGACCTTCCTGTGACCTATGACCTGAGACCTTTGGTAGGTTAAAATCCTGACCTATCAACTGTGCATCATGGGATAGCATTGCATCATGGGAAGGTTGAAGGGAGTGCTGTGGATGTGAAAGACTTGTTTCTGAACCATAAAGGCCTGGTAGTTGGTCTTCAAGCTGCTCTTGGTCTTGGTTTTGAGCTTCTTGCGATGTCCTCTCTAAAGGATCAGTCCCAAACAAGCCACCAACAGCCTTGTGGACTGTATCAGAGAGAACATCATCATCATCACCATTGTGGTCATGCGATGTGCTGTCTGTCTTAGTTGAACCTTCCTGCACTACAGGTGCGACACTGTCACTTAAGTCATACGTCCTCCTGAGATGAGACCCGTTGTCTGTGTCACCATCTCTCTCCAGTCCAGCATGAACCGTTCTTTGCAGTCCGACAACCTCCTGAGCTTTGGTAGTGTCTGGGGTCTCGGTGCCTTTGCCTGTTAGAAGTTTTTGCATTCTTCCCTTCAGCTGGTCTAGTTCTTCCATGTTCTTCCTGTAAATCATAAATTCTCAAGAAGTCAGGAATAAACTAGACGGGTAACATTTGCAAAGCAAATGCATCATGTTCTCCATCATATGGTCTAGCCTAACAAATTACATTTTTGTACTGCTCTATTTATTCTTACTCGAACACATTTCATATCTATGGTGACCAGCTCGTCCAACTCTGTCCTACCATTGCTACGTAATATGTATTCCAACACTACAAGGTGTCTGCTACAGCACCAGTTACCATGGTGACAGACATCTGGTTCATGCCATTGACCTTACATGTATTTGCATGGAGAAGAAACAGAGCAAAAAAAAACATTATGTTTCCCTTCTGTGAAGTTAAACATAATACTAGTAATTGATAAAGTAGCAAGTATTAGTGCCACCCAAACAAGTCTCAAAGTTGCATGCATGTAAAGAGCAACTAATAATTTTTATAAAGACCGGAGACACTACAAGTACCTTAGATTCTGCAGTAACAATGACCTGGATGTTTCCTTGCTGTCTAGGAACTGTGCCTCCTGGTCCTTTCCTTTATCATGTTTGTCTTCTGTCTGTTGTGGTAAGAACCCAGTCTCCTGTTGCTGTTCTTGTAGACTTTTGTGATACTGCCTCACATTTAGATAGTGCTCAGCAAAGTGCTTTGGTCTACTTGGACTGTAAAGAGAGGACACAGATTGTTTTCTTAGGACCTGCAAGCGAACAGTTATTCAGAGACTAAAGATATTCAATGGTGTTAAAGAGACACCTAGGGACGATCACATGAACTGCACACTAATACTAAAACTTCTTCGCTTGGTTCTGACAATACTGTACTTAGTGCTGTGTACCTAAACCCGCATTTAGGTTCAGGTCCAGGTCCAGATTCAAGTCCAGAGGTAAGTCCGGACGTAAACCCATGGCATATACAAAATTGCATGTTGGCAACTTTGCGATGTTGTTTGGGCAAAACTTCAGCCATATAACATGGAGGCCAACACTTGACGATGCCCAATAGCAATGTTTTCTTCATTTTGCAGCACAGATTTTGCAATCTATGGAAGGTTTTGCATGGTTTGGAAAGAAAAGAGGTATGTGACATGTTTTTTTTTTTGTAATAAGTCCAGAATCGGTTCTTGACTTAGGTTTTTTTTTGGACTTGAACCTAAACATGTCCAGCGAACTGGTACACAGCACACTATCTGTACTGGTACTCAGAAAGTCAGCATGTGAAAGGTTAGTGTACTGACCTGTGGAGTTTCACTGCTTGTTCTGGGTACCTGGCGATGTGGCTGGGGAACATGGGATAGGCGGCAGTCGTGGTGTAACCATGGAGACCAGACGGCAGCGGAGGGAACATGCTGGGTCTCTGTCGACTGGGAGAAACTCTCTCCTTGGGCATTACACTCACCTGTGGGTTAACAATCGGAAAACATTGTTAAAACCTTTGTTCCAACTACAAACAAATGTAGAGCTGTGTACTAGTACATGTATGTATGTACCGGTTCTGTACTGGAAAAATTCATTAGGTACATGTCCAAAATACCTTATCCCTCAGTACTGATACTGTACCTATTGATTTCACACTAATTATGTGCCTATTTGTGACCTAAAATGCCAGGGGTCCCAAAGTAAGGACAACGTGTTGTGTTGCATATTAGTTATGCTCCCTATACTATAAATGTATACACAAACCTGACATCTACATTGTATAGGCTATATATATATAGATGTCACTTTGGTCAGGTTTGTGTTGCAGGGTAGGAGATGATAACTGAAACATCTTTTAGTTTTGCCTATGTTTTGTATAAGAATTCTCCATAAACAAACACTTACACCTAACTGTCAAGTTTACTCACGTTTCTGTCATTATGGAAGGAGTTCAGAAGAACATTTTAATTTAGTGAATTGTTCAGGTGCAGTTTCAGGTCTGGACCTGGACCTAAACCCGTGTTAGGAAAACTGCTCATACCTTGATCTGTCCGTGACAGTGCCCGTTGAAGTCCATGATGTTGTACCAGCCTGAGATGTAGTGCAGACCAGCTGACAAGGTAGACAGGTCCACGGAGGCAAAGCCAACCACTCGGTCCAGTGTCACATCTGGAACAAAACATTAAGCTTCATAATTTTATTTATATCATACCCGGGCCGCGATAACGTTCGATAACGGGTTCCGGACCGGGCCATACTTTACGGTACGGCCCGGTCTGGAACCCGTTATCGAACGCTTCCATGGCTTCCATAAAACGATTCGAACGCGTTTCTCCCTAACCGCGTGCGCCCCTTTCGAGAATTCGAATACAGAATCCGGACATTGGAACTGATGTTGTTGCATTTGAGGGTTTAGGGGCACCAACTTTTGGCTCATATTGCATTGAAAGGCGCGTTTTCTTGGGTGGGTATGATATAAATAAAATACAACACGGTGTATTCCGCATCGCCCTCGGTCCCGGCCCACCCACGAGTCAGATCGCCCTCCGGCCTGCGGGCGATCCGATACCTCGGGCGATACGGAATACCCCGTGTTGTATTCTATATGTATCAGATGTTAAGCCTGAACAGTACTGTGACATGACATGTATATGGTCATACCGTCATATCCAAAATTCATATTCTAGACTCTATAAATTGACCCTTGGCTTGGTTACAGAAAGTAATTACTTTGCCACAGTATACGGTCTAACTACATGTACAGTGTGTATTACATGTATTAAGTTTCATTGTATATAAATTGTCCTTGGACTTAAGCCCATAAGTTTTAGGTGTGTTTTTATGTTTTCATACCACTTTGTATGTAGTGGTCTGCGTTTTCTAAATATATACTGCATTGTATATATGTCACAAAAACATGTTGTAAAACACTGAAACTGAGCTGGTTCCTTCATCTGCTTGGAGATGAAAAAGAGAAAGTTCCACTTGCCAGGCCCTTCCTTGTCCGAGGTTTTCTGCCACACTTTAAACACCAGGTTGTGGTCAGGACCCAGGAGAAACCTGCCAAGGTACACGTCACCGTCAAAGTTCCACAGGGGGTTCCTCCCTTCTGACACATGGGTGGTGACAGCGCCACCTTGCTGTAGAGGCTGGAATGACACGTAGTAGGCTGGGATGACGCTGGGTCCTCCAGGAACAGAGGAGAGGTGTACGGCTCTCTCCACACCCACATGGACAGGAATGGTGTCTTCTGGGATAGGTACGTGGTCTTCTCTGTCCTTGTCTGTTCTGCTATCTTTGCTGACATGGCTCCGTCTGTAGTCCACATTTTCATCAGACAATTCCTCCTCTATTTCCTCTGACAACTACGGAATTAAAGAAAGGATATAATTAGGTCAAGAAAACAAATATGTACAAGGTGGCATCAAAATACAACAGGTAAGTACAAATTTCTGTGTGGCAGTGGCACTTGGCTCTGAATTTTTACAGTGTATTTTCAATCATTTTCGCAGTATTTTTAAGTCAGCTATTTTTGCGGTAACCTCTTACCATAAACTCTTCACTACAACCACGCAAGCATAATAACAGTGTTGTGTATTGTTACTACAGTTAGTTGTTTACACCAGGAACAAAAAAGTACTGCAAACACTAGATTCAAGTACTGCCAATTTACATTTTATGTATTTTATTTATTTATATATTTATTGTGTTGTGTATTGTTACTACAGTTACTGTTGTTTGCACCAGGAACAAAAAGGTACTGCAAACACTAGATTCAAGTACTGCCAATTTACATTTTATGTTTTTCCTTCCTGAAAGCATAGTTTTGACATGAGTAAGGGGTTTGGGCGAAGGACACAAATGACAGGGGGATGCCCCCAGGAAATTCAGTATTACGTCAATCGGGTTTTCAACATTCCTGGTAACAAATTGTGACGTCAGAGATTCTTTGGGGACTTCTAGTAAAAGGTGAACACATCCTGCCCTCACAAAGACTAATGCTAACACTTAACTACCACACCTGTACTATATGACCCCTTCACTGGTAGAGCCAAAAATGTCTATAAAATGTCTAACGGACATTAGACATTCTCGAAAGTTCCAGACATTTTTTAAACATTTGTAAGAACGTCTTTCCCAGGCCTTTATAGGGTCTTTTTGGGGAGGGCTTGCTTGTTGTGTTTTCCATTGTTCATGAGGTGTCTTTTAGAATGTCTTTAGAAAAAAAGTGTGAAAACTGACATGCATATGAAAAGCACTACACAAAGCCAAGACAATTTACAGAGCAGGACACAATTAATTAACGGACAGATGCTAATATCTTTATAAGTGCGCATCGTGCTAAACAAAGGACTGTCTCCTAAGGGTGTCCCTATCTGACGTGTGAAGAGACTATGGATATAAAATGTCCACCTTGGGTTATTTTGATGTCGTTTCTCAGTAACTATGTCTTAATGTTCTCCCGACTGGCCTTTGTTCAGCAATGTCTAAATTGTCCGTTAGACATTTTATAGACATTTTTGGTTCTACCAGTGCTTGGCCATTGTGGCCACTCTCTGGTGGCCCCTTAAATCAATTCCCATTGACTCAAGGATTAAAAATCCTGACTTTACTGCTTTACCGGTACATGTATATAGAACAGTCTTTGTATCAAAACAGTCAGTTTTTTTGTGAGTTGACATACATTGTAGAAAAGAGGCACTGCATGCCCTTTTTCGTTAGCCTGGGTTCCATCCTGGTTAGTTTACGTCCGCTCCTACAGTCGCTACCACCAACCAAAATTGGTGGCGACTGTAGGAGCGGACGTAAACTAACCAGGATGGAACCCAGGCTACTTTTTCGTAAGGAGAAATCAGGCCATTTACAAGTCTTCGGAATTCGTAGGCAGCCACCCAAAATCAACATAATTTAAACCTTGTGAATTCAACGTAATTCACAATCAGCTCTGAGAATTCAACGTAATTCATAGTCAGCTCTGAGAATTCAACGTAATTCATAGTCAGCTCTGAGAATTCAACGTAATTCATATATAGTCAGCTCTGAGAATTCAACGTAATTCATAGTCAGCTCTGAGAATTCAACGTAATTCATAGTCAGCTCTGGGAATTCAACGTAATTCATAATCAGCTCAGAGAACTCAACATAATTCATAGTCAGCTCTGGGAATTCAACTGAATTCATAGTCAGCTCTGAGAATTCAACGTAATTCATAGTCAGCTCTGAGAATTCAACGTAATTCATAGTCAGCTCAGAGAACTCAACATAATTCATAGTCAGCTCTGGGAATTCAACTGAATTCATAGTCAGCTCTGAGAATTCAACGTAATTCATAGTCAGCTCTGAGAATTCAACGTAATTCATAGTCAGCTCTGAGAATTCAACGTAATTCATAGTCAGCTCTGAGAATTCAACGTAATTCATAGTCAGCTCTGAGAATTCAACATAATTCAGTCAGCTCCAAGAATTCAACGTAATTCATAGTCATAGAATTCAACGTAGTTCATTGTAGTCAGCTCAGAGAATTCAACGTAATTCATAATCATCAAAAACTTAGGGTGATTCGTAATTACATAAATTTAAGCCTTCTTCAGGTAATTGAATAAAAGCTGTTAAATACTGGTACCTCGCTGCCATCCTCATCGTGGTCTCCTGTTACCTTCATCTCCACATGTGCCCTGAGACAAGCACCGCCCAGGTTACTGACTCCAGGTTTATACAGAGGGTACTGCCCACTGGAAAAAAGTTCCAGCCGTAAACAACAAAGTTACACAGTAAGGTAGAGGAAAAAAATGTTGTGTTTCCTGTCATTGAAAAATTAGGGTCGATAGGTAGGTATTTTATTTTTTTTCTTTTCCTTTTTTTAAAGACTTTGGCTACATCGTGATTCGACTCATACAATACAGTTTAACAAAGTAAAACGTGCATGAGGACACTTATATTTTCAATGTCAATGTTAGAAAGCCGATTGTACAATCATGTTTCATCACTCACATATCAGATCATGATCATGGAGCTAGAGAAGGTTCACCAGTTTGAAAAATTTATGTCCCTTGCAGGGGTCTACACAAAAAAAGGCTAGGAATAGTAGGATTGGCAGTTTTTTGTAGGGTCAGTCAGGAAACAGGAAACACAACATTTTTTCCCTAAGCCCAACACAGACTCAATGTTCAATGGAATAGTAGAAACTAAATGGTTTATTTTCCAGTATTCATTTAGCCTGGTTGTACACTAGTACATGTACATGTAGATACTATACTAGCTCTGATAAATTTTGAATAGGGACATTTGTGTAAGCAAAACATTTGAATGGCAACAGATTTTAAGTGGAGATCGAACAGGAATGCAAAACTTAAATCCAAGTTACCAGGGTACACCCTGTGTCTGCTTCTAGAAAATATTTAAACCGGAAAATATCCAGAACAACCAGAAATACATGTAATGGAGCCACTTAAAGCTCTTATTTTTCACACAACATTTACTGCAACATTTAAATGCCAATTTTTTAAAATAGACCATTTAATGGGGATTAGCAATCAGAGGAGTGAACCGAAGCTAGAATACTAATGTATGGATAAAAGTCTTATTCATCTGCACAGGCATGAAATATCCCATTCAAAATCAGAAACCTTCAGCGCTCAATATATCCATCTCATGACAATAGGCTTTTATGTCAGCTTATATTTTTAGGTCTCCAGATTTTCAGGGGAAAAACTGCCTTAGCCCCACTCCATCAATGCTGAAACATCTGACTCACGTATTCAGTAGCCTTTGTTTTTGATAAAACTGTGGGTGCGTGATTTCATACACACTCTGGTGAACACCAACAACATAATGCTTCAGGCCATGTCAATTTCATCAATTGGTTCTTAGAATCGCCCACTTCATTTTGCAAAAAAATATTCAGGGTCTGACTGAACTCCAAAGGCTCAAATTTTGGCCCCGACAGCTGAAGAGAGTCCCTGTCTTTCTAGTTGTTACAGTTTTTCTATAATTATAACATATCAATGCAGTGGTTTGATTAAAGTTCAATGTTCCTTGATGCATTATAGCAATTTTAAACTGGACTGGCATGTTGACTTCATGGCTCTTATTGTAGCTTTTGAGCCTACATGTTGGCCTGTTTTTGCTTGTCCCTTCATACTGTAAACTACAAATTTTGTGGTATGAGAAAAATGGACATGTTCTATATTATGTTCGTGGTGGCGGCAGGTGCAGAAGAAAGAAAGTCACCAAACTATTCGTTCACGGTAATGATAAATTTGTGGTACTGAAGTGACCACGAACTAGCCTGGTTACCAAACCTATTATAGCTCCCGAGTCCTACAC